TTCATTATATTAAAAATCTCAGGATGTCATTGTCAATACAGATCAAAAGCATAAATAGAAACAACATAGTCCTTACAACATCTATTTATTCTAGTGGCTTATAATCCATTGATCTCTAATCAGATCATCACTCCATTGCTCTCTTGCCACTACCTATATACAAGAAACTGAGTGGGTCAGGCTTGGAAGCCTGGTGAGCACATAGGATTTTCAACCCACAATAACTAAGTTTATTAATTTCGTCAAATCAAATAACTCGATTACCCATTTCCGTTATCCTCACTTTCTGTCCCTAAAGCATATAAAGTAAAGGACCTAGCCTAAGGATTTTCATCGTAATGACAAAACTGATTAGGGGATTCCTCAGCAATACATGTCAAATAAGGCAACCATGAGGGGGGTGGAGTACACCTGGTGAACACTTAGTTCAGAAACACCTATAGGTAGCGAGCCTGCCAACGTTCCACTAGACTGTCCAGAACAGTCTGTAGTCGTCATCTATACTCCGCTAGATGACTGGATCACCTTAAACATCGAGGCCTCTTATCAATTTCATTTCCTCTTTCATCATCTATTTCATCTACCCATCTTTACGCATCATAATCATAGTTATAAAATACATATACTGTTTGAATCAAGTGAAACCTGTATATTTTGTTCATGCAGCAGAAATATCAAGTACACAAATAATATGCACACATAGCACGTAACTTATATTTAAATACTTCATATCTATGTGTAAGATGAAAGTAACTATGCACTCACTTGTTAAAGTGATGATTCAAACTCAGGCAGCGCTTCGCTTCTAACAATTCTATTTTCCTTCGACGAAACCTAGTATCTTTACCGTGAGATTTAATCTAATATTTATTGTGACTATTTCCGAGCGATATTGTTTTATAAGTGTTAAACAATACTTTTCAACAACAATGTACAGACAGGGTCCAGACATGAAACACCGGAGGGTAGGACCATTTTGGCATTTAAGCACTTCTGAAATCCAACAACCCTATGTGGCCCTTTAAACCACATTCCCCGTACCGCGAGTAGTTAAAAGATATTATATTAACACTTTGTATATTATATTTTATAATACATATATTGTTTATAGGTTCATAATAACGATATTAAATTTAAACATAAGTTATACTTAAAGTAGGGTAGGCATAACTTACTTATAAGAGGGTTTGGCTAGGAACCAGGCTCCGCGGGAGTAGAACTTCCGAGCCAAATGCTCTTCTTCTCGGAGGCTTATGGCGCTTTGGGACTCGCCTCTAGCACTTAGTCAATACTAGGGAAGGGGAGGGATAGTTTTGGAGTGTGGAGAGAGAAATAAGGGTGAAGGTGTGAAGAATTGGGAGAAACCTCGCACATATTTATAGGAGGCTGGATGCGAGTGCGCGGTGCGTACTTTCGGTGTAAGTTGGGGGTACTTAGTACACGGGGCATCCGAAATGTTACGCTGTGCGTACAAAGGCCATATGTCACCATCCGAAGCGAGGTCGTGGGGAGTAAGCAAGGGTGAAGATTAAGCCACGTCACCCTCCACGCATCAGCCTATTTACGACTTCTAAATTCCGTAACTTTTGCATATGCGCTCCATTTTGATGTTATTTATATCCACGTGTAGGTGGCGATGTACTCTATAACTTTCGTTTAGATTCCGTCGACTAATTTTGAATTTATTTTTAACGTTACATTTTAACAGGCCAAGACAGGTAAAGTCCGTTAAAAATTCATAACTTTGTCATCTGACGTCCGTTTTCATCTGTCTTTATATTGTTGAGCTCCTATTAACGAGATCTTCGACTCTCGTTTAGGTTGTGTCGGCTAAAAATCGGTCGATCTAAAATTCAAATACTGGGATGTGCACTGCTATGCTAAATCTTATAAAAATCATAACTTCCTTATATGAAGTCAGATTTGGACTTTTTTTATGTACTCTCTCGGTTTAATATATAATACGACATTCGTTTAGATCGCTATGGCTAAAAAGTAGTTTATCGCAAACTCACTTTTTACAATTCCTGGTGTCGTGCCGGTTTTTCCGCAAAACTTCGACATGTCATAACTTCTTCGTTATAAGTTGGATTTCAACGTTTCTTATATCCCCAAAATCTTTGTTACCACTACTTCAACGTTATTCGTAGATATTAGGTATATCTATCATTTTATTTTTGACGCTTATTTTTATTATTATTTTATTACGTCGTTAAAAATAATTATAATGCACATAAAATCACATAAATCACATAATACTCAAATAATTCTTCTTTATTACTTCAAAATTGGTTACAATTGTTGATCCTAACTAGTACATCATACTATTGATGCTTAGCCTAGAAACACGGGCGTTATAGCACACAAGTCCAGGATTTCGATATACCTTGGAGCCACCAAGATGTACCGGTATTTGAGGGTTAGCTAGTGGTAGTCGTGCATGAAGAGGAAGATAGCATGATATGTTGAAAGGTGCTTGACCTATCAGATAGTCAAGGCCAAACAGCAGAGACCGCATGGCAGGTTGCAGGCACTAGAGGTTCCCATGTGGAAATGGGAACATATTACTATGGATTTCATCACCAAGTTACCTCCGACAGCTAAGGGGCATGATACAATTTGGGTGATAGTGGATCAGTTGACCAAGAGTGCCCATTTCTTAGCTATCCGGTAGAGCTCCTCGGCCGAGAAGTTGGCTGATTTGTACATGCGTGAGATTGTTGTTCGGCATGGTATTCTAGTCTCCACTGTATCTGATCAAGATGTTATGTTTACATATGGACACTACTAGAAAACAACCCTTTACTGACGCACAAATAATGACACGCGTTGATATAGGACACACATTTGTACGGGCCCTAAAAAATAATGTCAGTTTTGCAAAATATGAAGGATAGAGGACGCGCATTTGTGCGTACCCTAAAATTAGTGTCAGAAAAGAAAAAAATTGAAAATGCGGAGGGCGCCTTTCATAAAATGTGTGTCATCTAAATATGTCAGCTTTATAATTTTTTTAATGAAACACGCGTTTTAAGCAGGGAAATGAAATACCCCAAATTTTTTAAATCCCCGCCCTTCGTCTTCCTCCCTCCGTAAATAACTTACTGATTCTCTTCTAAAATCTCCCGAAACCCTACCATTTCTCTCTATTGATGCTCCATCATCTCACGTTCATCTTCAAAAACAACTTCATCGGAAAAATGCAACCTGTAATGGTTGTGAAGAAGACCAATTGGTTCGACTTCTCCCCTAAAACCTGATACAACTTCTCCTCAATTCGACTTCACTCTTCAATCTTCACGCGATTGAATGGTTTTTCACTCTTAAACCCCAAACCCTACATTGATTTTACAGACAGAGAAACATATAAGTGTTGTCGACTACTGTGCTCCATTATTACCACACGGTGCTCTGGATTTGTTAGGGCTCGTTTCATTTGTTCATCGCCTCCCTACCACAAGAGATCTTATAGTTCTTCCCAAATATACCCGCTTCATTCATCTTTTCTATCAACATCGTATTCCACCAACGTTCCCTTAAAGGCGACTTCATTTTTGATTTTTGATAACGTGAGCCCTAATTTGTATCTTGATTTAACTTTTCTATCAACATCGTATGGTTTGATTAGTATAAGTGTTTTCTCTAATTTGGTAGATTTGCTGTTGCAGACCAACTGTTTGTTTAAATGCCTACACACCACTTTAGTGAAAAAGGAAGTGGATAGCACAGACATCTGGTAGCTCATATTATTGACTATTTATATGTGTGTAGTAGGATTATAAATATTCTTCAAATCAATATCACGTTCATACTTGTGGTTTTAATTCAAGGAGCTTATGAAGATTCTATTGTAGATCATTTGGTGATGGAACTTTGTGCTGAAGTTGAGTTCTTTGATAGAATTACCACAAAAGGGCACCGTTCAGAAAGAAAAGAAACTGATCTTTATAAAAAAAATTAAAAAAATTGTTGGTTTGATTGAAGCTTGTCATTCTTTGGGAGTAACACATCGTGATCTTAGACCTGAAAACTTTATTTTTTTTGATATACATGAAGATTCGCCTCTTAAAAACATAGATTTTGGACTATCAGTTTTCTTTAAACCAGGTACCTGCAACATTACAGATGAAGAAGATGTCCCATGTGGCCCACATTGTTATCTCCAGGTAATTGTTATTTCTCCCCATTTTTTTAGCATTACATAGGTATTAGAGTATGAAAAATCGTTTAGAGTATGAAAAAATAAAGTTTTTAAATAATTTATTACAAACAATAATCCTCCTGAAAGTTTTTCATAGGATAATATGCAAAACACGAAGTTTCTTGACTCATTTAGACTTCCACAGACCCTCTGTTTTGTGAATTACAGAAAAAGAAATATGATGTTTATTTTTCCAAAAGTCAAAAAGGCTAAATTGGAAAATGTATGAAGCTTTAATAGGCTGTTATATCTGGAAAGTTTGACATGGCAGGAAAGGAACATGGGCCTTTGAATTGGGAAATGAGGATGAAGATTGCTTTAGGATCTGCAAAAGTGTAAGCATATTTGCATGAGGACCATGAGTATTCTTATTTTGTTGCTTTATTTAATCATATGATTAACATTATGCATCTTGGCTCTAGTGATTTACTCATATGGATGTCATTTTTTCTACTGTAGGTAATTAAAAAGATCATGAAGTTGGATGCAGTTGATCAGTTTAACAGACCTGCAGATCTAGTCAAACTTGCAATTCCTATAAGCATTTCTTTTTATTTCTTTCTACAAATATTTGCTTCTGTTGTGCATTATTGAATCTTATATTCCTATAGTGATTTGGGTGGATTTTGAACCAGGATTATCTGGATGTGATCGATACACCAATGGATTTTGGTACAGTATGTAGCAATTTTGAAATGTCCTAAAGTACATGAATTTAACAGATGTGTTAATAGATCTAGAATGCATTTGGTATAATGGTGTCAAATATAATGACAAAGGTGATTACATTTTGGAGCTCATGAAGCACATGAAGCCGCCCTTCATGAAGCACCGGAAAGCAGCCGAATTACAAACCGGACAATTACCCCTACTATTGGTAAGGGCACAGATTGTTATCATTAAATTTTTGGTTTTATGAAATCATGACACCATTTTCAATTTAAGATTCCACTTTTCTGAGGAATAGAGTCCTCTATCTAGAAAGAAAACGACCACCCACTGTCCCCACCTACCAATAATGTCAGCCTCCCACCTCAAAACGAGGCTGGCATTATTGGTAGGTGGGGACAGTGGGTGGTCATTTTCCTTCTAGATAGAGGAATCTATTCCTCAGACTACATACATGTTTTTATAAGGTCTAGCCCAAATCTTGCTATTAGAGCTCAGTTTATTGCACCACAATTTGAGATGAGAACTTAAATTCACTATATTCAGCGTTTACCCCTAATTATTGAGAGTGGTATTTATTGTACATTGTTCTTCAATCTGATCTGCAACATGGACGAGATCTAACTGGGAAGCTTGATACCCAAATCATTAAATACTGTAAATGCAAATCACTTTAGTAGTGGGAAGGAAAGAACAATCATTTGGACTAATAGTAAACATCTTTTATAATAGCCTTTAATGGATTTATCTTACTTTGTTCGCTGCTCTGTCTCGTACCCTAAACGGAAAACTAACAAGGTGATTTTCACATATTTTATCCCTCAATGACGATAGAGTAGTAGTTTAACTTGAATTTCGTGGTTATTAATCTGACTCGAGTCTGTTGTTCATATAATTAAAGCTCGCTATTGATGATTTCATTGTTTTTTAAGACTTAATCAGCTAAATTAATTACGGATGTTTCAGGACCAAATTCGAAGATTAACTGAAACGGAAACATCGTCGTATACACAGTTCATAATGTGGTCATGGAGTGGATCCAGATATTCTGGTTTGGTATGCATGGCGTTATCGTCTTCTGTCTACTGTATCATGACAATTCCTTCTAATGTGTTCTCTGGTTAGTGATTTCCTTTTATGTATTGCTAGAAAAGTGAAATGCATATTTGATTTCGTACATATTAGAATTTCGTATCCATGAATCATGATAACATCATTCATGTGGTTAAGAAGAACCTCACAGCCATTATTTGGACCTGTAAATGTGAGGAGTCTATTTGTTTCAAGAGCTGTTACTGGCTCTATTTCTTTGATAACTTTCATCTACTGGTAATAACTCTCATCAATGTTCATCATAGTGCAAAAGATGTCACATATCTAAATGACACTTCTCTTTTACAACATTCAGATATTACCATTGTCTCAAGCCATGCTCTTGAGCTTTACAATTCCATTAATAGCTTCAATATCTGAAGGATTCATTCTTCATGAGAGTTTCAAACTTGCAGAAATAGCAGGTAAAGTAACAATTACATAATGACAAAACACAAAACCTGATTGTGAATAACTGACATCTTCTCTCTCAGGAATTGCTTCAAGTTTCTTTGGTGTAATCTTCATCAGCAGATCAATGGTTAGCGTGCAAGGTACAGAAGTGAGTTAATAAATCCTTTTGGATCTTTTATTGTTATGAAACTATGAAAGATCAAAAAGACATTCATACCCTTTTACATAACTTATATCTCTATGATCTTGTGTTTTTGTGTTTTTGATTGGTTTATTATCATCATTGACTGGTGGAATGAGCTACTGTTTTATAAGGGCTGGAGCTAAACAGTCTGATCAACCTGTGTAAATACTAAAATAAGCAATCTACTTTCAACATATTTATCTAAACAAATTTTCTATTTTCTATTTTTATTTTTTTACTTCAAGATGACTATATTTTCCTTTGGTTTAGTCTCTACTCCTACTGCAGCAATATGCATGATCACATTTGAAGTAAGATATTCATTTTATAAAAAAATTATATGATTTTGATATTTTCTAAAGGGCAATTTACAGAAAAAAAACCATTATATTTCTAAATGCAACTTATATCTTTAATTGTTTTTTTCTTGCAGGATTTTGTGTTGCCTAGCTTCTATTCTTTCCTTCTTATGATTATACTTTCCCGACTGGCGTTTGTTGTTGAGGTAGAATTTTGATTAAATTATGTTTTTTCATTGATTTTATTTTTGCCTTCAAATTTGATATCTTAAAATATGACTTAATCAAGTTATCTGACATCTATTATGTTATGTTAATCAAGTTATCTGTAATCAATTAATCATGTTAGATGTTTTACACTCTAAAGCTGCAGTTGTGCACAATCCGCTTGATTATCTAATTCTATTGACTTGTGTAGTGATGTATTGTAGTCTACTAATCTATTATGAT